GGTACCGGAGCCCTGGGGTGAGGCAGCCCGGCGGGGCTGCGGTGGCCGGGCCAGACCGGGCAGGCCCAGGCGCTTCTCGGTGCCCCGGGAGCTGCCGCTTGGCCCACGCTTAGAAGGAGCTTTATTGCTGCCGCTAGCGGGACCTGCCCACGCTGAGCCCGCTCCCCGGTAGCTGTGGTCCTGGCCTGGGCTTCCGCCCCGGTTGGGTGGGCAGGGAGCGGAGCCCTCCAGCACGGGCTTGCGCTGGCGCTCAGGGCCAGCCTGCGTGCTCCGCCTGCCCTGGGGAGCTCCGCAGCACACGGCCGGGTTCTACAGCCGAGCTCCCTGGGAAAAGCTGCCCACCTTGGGCGCTGCTGTCCGTGTTCCTGCCGTGCCCGTGGCCTGTTTAACAGTCCAGAGATCGCTGTGTCCTGCCCTGTTATCTCGTTGCTGCAAGTACGCTGTTTTCCAAGGAGAAAGCGAGCTATATCTCATGCTCTCGTAGTCTTGTGTTAGGAGCTTACAGCACTGACCTTGAGTACAGCCAGTACAGTAGCACATTGTAGTTGTTACGCTGCCACGTTACAAGCACTTTGACCCACAGGATCGTAGATTTCTAGCCCTAGCAAAGCCCGTGCTCAGCCACCTCTCCCCAGCTCCTGCTTCCCCTCTGTCTCTGCAGGCACATCTCCTGTCATGGTGAACGAGAGGCATAATGGCAACCTGCTTACACACCTGGGACCCAAACTGCAGGCCTACCCAGAGGAGCTGCTCCGGCAGCGGCGGGGCCACGATGGCCAGCCTGAGTACCTGATCCAGTGGAGTGTCGTCAGCTTGGAAGAGAGAGCAGTGGGAGGCAGCGGTGCCTCCTCTGCAGAGACCAAGCCGGAGAACATCTTGATGTGGATGTCTGCAGAAGAGGTCTGTGCCAGCTGCCCGGCGCTGCTGGGCCAGAGGAAGCTGGAAGGGCAGTGGGTGAAAGAGGAGAAGGCAGCCAGCCCGTTTGCTGCAGATGTCCCGCTGGATGAAGCCTCGCTGCTGGAGATGAAGGCTGATGTCAGGAGCCTGGTGCAGCGAGCTGGCCGGCCGATAAAAAAAGGGGGCCTTCAAGGAAACGGGAGCCCTCGACTTGCTGATGAAGATGCTGTGCCACAAGGAGAAGCAAATCCGCCGCAGTGCCGGCAAGATGCTGAGGGCCCTGGCTTCGCATGATGCAGGTGGGGGCTGCTACTGCTCAGTGGCACTGAGGAGGTGCTGCTGGGCAGCCGAGGGGTGCCAGTCCTTCTGTGGGCATGGGATGCCTGGGAAGCAGCGTGTCTTGGGGCTTGTTGGCAAAAGGGGAAGAATCAGACTGGGGCTTCCAAGCACCTCCTTGGTCATAGCTGTCTGGGGTGCTCTAAGGCTTGGGAGCTCTTTCCCCTGAAAGGTTCCTGAGCTGATTAACTGTCAGGAGTGTTGAGGGATGTTAGGGGTGGCTGTCTCCTCCAGCAGGCCCAGCACCTCTCCTGCCCTGCCACTGGAGCCCAGCCCGGGGATCCGGGGTCCCTCAGGCTGAGGGATGCAGCTGCCACGTCCCTGTTTGTGGGTTCAACCAGTCGCAAAGCTGAGCACCCATCCTAGAGACACACAGACACATGCAGGACGCTGACACAGCTGGCCACCAACAAGGTGCTGCCTTCAACAGCACGTACATACGGGACTCCCATAAACACGAGCACAGACAGCCAAGTCCCCTCCTCCTCTTCGGCTGACAGAGACAGGTGACTCGTGCCAGCACACACAGCACTCTCCAGGTTCACATGCACACACACGTTCACAGATGCCTTGAGTGCCAGCATGGCTGCTCTGTCTGCCCGACACCCCTGCCGGGATCTGAGCCCCCCTCCCTGCCTTAGGGGTCCCCCGGCTCGCCAGCTGGTCAAGCCCGGTGCTTGCTAGCAAACACGTAGCACTCAGACACTTGTCCTTCACGCAGTCCACGTTCACAAGTCCCTTTGGACTTCCAGCACAGACCACCACCCGCCTCATACCCTGGCCTGGACCCAGGGCCTCCTACTTGCCAGCTAGTCCAGCTTGAAGTTTTGCTAACAGGTTACACGCACGCCCCACACGCAGCAGATTGAGGAAGATACAGATGCTCGCCCCGCCAGCACCAGACACTGCTGTCCTGCTTCAGCTGCTGGTGCCGAGCTCCTCACTTGCCACCCTCCCACTAGCTGTTTTTTGGGACACGCACCGTTCCCTCCCCAGTGGCTGATGGCCGAGGACCCCATCTGCTCCAGTTGCTAGCATGGACACCCATGGTTCCAGTAGCTGGCACCACAGGCCAGGAGCGCCTGCACCCCCGGTCTGACTCCAGTAGCTGGCACCCAGTCCACTCTACGCCAGTCTTCCCGATAGCTGGCACACCAAGCTTAGTCTGTGGGTCCCTCCCCAGCTCCAGGGAGCGATGGCTTCTCCAACTGCTAACGCCAAGACCCTCACTCGCTCCAGGCACTGGCACCACGGGCCGCAGGGCTCCCGCACCCCCACTCAGGCTCTAGTTGCTGGCACCAAATTCAATTCACGCACGTACAGGTCACGCCAGTAGCCAGCACTCAGCCCTTGCAGCACACACAGACGCACACGGGATAGAGAGATAGTTAGAAAAGATTTAATGAGAAGATGTAGGACAAACTGCAGCGATCAGGTGCAGGGCTCAGTCAGATAAGTGCACTGACTGGCCGCGGTTTGCACATGACTGGCCCCTTTTATACCCCTTTCTGTGCACCCCCTCTGTGTTCCTCGCCAGTTCCCTTCCTTCCCTCCCTATCGCCCCGTCTGTTGGCATAGTTCCACCGATCCCACTCCAACATCCCGGACTCTCAGGGTTACATCCTATCGGTTGCAAAGTCCCAGTTTGCCTGCAGTTTCTTCATAGCCCATTAATTAGTGCAGCTGACTGGGTTTGTTTCTGGTTATTGTCTTTGTTAATGATAATTGGTCAGGTTTTATGTCTCTGTGTGTTTGTCTCCCTCCCTTTTCTTATCATCCCAATTTGACAAGGTCCTTAGTTAGATAATCTTCCTGAAAAATAATCATTCTCGCACTCCAGATGTCCTTACTAATTAGCGTGCCTGAGCAGATTTGTTTCTCTTCACTGCCTCCATTAGCATTTGTCAGTCAGGTTTGTGATTCTTTATGTTCTTGTTCATGGCTTCCTTCTTACCATCCCTTTTTGCAGTGAAAAGGTCCTTGACTGGATGCACTTAAAGGAGCAGACAGTCTCCTTCCACATCCCCTTACAATGAAGACCTGTGCCAGGGGGCCTGGCAGAGCCCTGCTGGGTAGAGGCCAGTCCTCACCCAGTCCTCTCATTTGAGAGGAGCTGCCGTGGCTCGGAAGTGCCTGATGAGGCTGGGGTGCACCTGGGAGGTGGCTAGTGGTGCTGTGTCCCACAAGAGATCTTTCCCTGTCCTAGTGCCCAAGTTCATGTGGCTCTCCAGTGGGGCAGATGGGGGGCCGATTCAGGTTAAAACTTAACTTTTTTATCTTCCCTGGAACCCTGTTCTGGAGTCAGTTATTTGGGGTTACTGCATTGGGGGAATCTTGCAGCTTTAGGGGTGGAAAAAAATGCAGTGTTATTTGGTGGAGCACAATGTTGCCAATCCAGATTAAAGGACAGAACATGGTTCTGGGTTACGCTGAGCAGCAAAGCTGTTCCTTGCCTGCGAGCCCATCTCGCACGGGGAGGGTGGGGTGAGGGTTATTTTGATGGGCCCTGAAGGGTTTCTGTTGTTGTTGCAGGGAGCTGGGCCCATGTCCTGCTGTCCCTGAGCCAGCAGGATGGCATTGAGCAGCACATGGACTTTGACAGTCGCTACACCTTGCTGGAGCTGTTTGCTGAGACAACATCCTCTGAAGAGCAGTGCATGTCCTTTGAGGGGATTCACCTTCCCCAGGTAGCGGCAGGCCCTGCCAGCCCTGGGCCTGTGGGCTTTAGGAGTCAGGAGGGGTGAGAGTGGGGGGCCAGAGCTGGTGTCCCTGGATGCCCCCAGGATGTGGGCCTGGCTTGAGGCTGGAGGGAGGTGGAGAGGCACATGGAGAGTCTTGTCTCTGAGGAGGGAGACTAGGGTGGGCTGAGAGGTCTCTGCTGCTGCCTGCTGGTCCGGGGCTATCACAGGGGCCTGGCCATGGATGAGGTGGGGGCTCGGAGAGAGCTGGGGGCTGGAGGCGCTCTGCAGGCTAGAGTCTGACAGCCGTGCTTGTTGCAGATCCCTGGGAAGCTGCCCGTGTGAAGCAGGAGTTTGATTTCAGCATGGCTATGGCAAACCTCATCTTGGAGCTGGTGCACGTGATGGGCTGGGACCACAGCCACAAGCCAGAGCTGCTGCCCCAACAGGAGCTGCGGCCTCGCACCATGCGCTCCATCTTCCAGCACAGGGCCGCATCCTGCACCACTGCTCAACCAGCCCCCACTCCCCCGCCAAAAGAGCCCAGCATCTTCAAGACACGCTCAGCCTTCCCAAGCCGCAGCAGCTACGTGGAGTACGTGCAGGCAAACCTGGTGTGCGGCATGCGGGTGCGCATGCTGGAGGACTACGAACAGGTCAGCGCGGGTGACGAAGGTGACTTCCGCCAGAGCAACGACGGCACGCCGCCTGTGCAGGTATCCTCTGCTGGGAGGGCAGGGGCTGTCAAGGGGCCTGTCTGCTCTGTTGCGCTGTAGGAAGCCTGCAGCCTTGCGTGGGAGCGGTGGGGTTGGGCTTGCCTTGCCTCAGCTGGGTGTGTGTTGGGCTCTCCTCCTCAGGTGTACTGGCAAGCCCTGGGCTCCACGTACTGGGTTCACTGGCACATGGTGGAGATCATTGGCCCTTCGGGGCAAGAGGAGCATGAGGGCCAGGAGAAGGTGTCCACCCTGACACACAACCACAAACTGGCAGCAGGTGAGCAGCCTGTCAGCTGGGCCTGCAGCTTTTCTCCCCAGCCCTTCTGCAGCTGCACGCTGGCGCTGTGGATTCTGCTGGTGTCTGAGTGCGTTGCCCTGGCTGGTCCAGGCACTGTGGGAGCAGGTTGGGGGAGCAGTGAGCCAAAGGTGCCCATTTTGAGCGTGTGCTTTTTCTGTTCTACAGTCCAAAGAGGTTCAAGTGAAGATGGTAATTCCCATCTCTACAACTTCTAGGGTCTCCTCCCAGCATGTTCCCCCTCTCTCGC